CTGACCAGCACCTAAGAAGGGACACTGCTACTGCTTACTGGTATGCAAGACAGAGAAGGGCAAGGCAATTCAAACAATGAAGATGCAGCTGCTCTGGGCTGGGCTGCCAGGGAAATGGAAACAAACATTCCATCTGTGAGTGCACCCTCATTTCTTTCCTCCTCCTAGCCAATACTAGCTGGTTTTCCATCATCTGAATTGTCTCTTTACTTCCACCCACCCGCAGTAGGCTACAGTCCCACCATGGACCTCTCCCAGGATTTGACAGCTGTCAGGATAAGGGGAAAGACATAGAACTATGCATGTGCAGAACTGCTCTCTGCCTACTCAGTGTAGGATCTTGGTCACTGCATTAATACATGTTATGGTAAAAAATACATATCAATAAATCTAAAACCAATATTTTTAAATATATTAAAGAAATGGAGCTATCATAAGTGATGAAACTTAGTTACTTGCATAGTGATTGACTTGTCAGAGCCCTGAAACAAAATAATCAAAAGAACTAGAATAGAACAGCCTGGGAAAAGCTATATAATAGGATATATTATAATTTTTCTAGTCACTCAATAATAGCTGCAATGGAAGAAAATAAGCAAGCCAGACTTCTCCTCAATTTTATTACAGAAGCAGCATTTATTATTCAGTGGGCCTTTGTTATATCTCCCATCTAATAAAATAATAATAAAATTAGATGGGAGAACCAACAGAGTGCTAAAGTTAGTAAGAGGCAAGTGTACATAAACTATTAAGAGCACTAAGGGGATCTTGTTCTTTCCTTCATTCTTCTATCTGTTAGATGGGAGAACATTACACTTTGCCATCCTGAGGTATAGGAAGCCTTCCTATACCTTAGGATAGTTAGCCATGCTAAGAGCATTCTGTCTTTACAAGCAAGGCATGACAAACCCAATGACTGGAAGGAAAAAGGTTCCCTTAGTGCTCTTAATAGTTTACATCCAATTGCCTCTCACTAACAGTTGATTTAGCATCCTCTAGGTTCATAGATAATGATTAGAAGAGAGATCTGCAGCATAGAGTGGCATGGGGAGTAATCCCTCTCAGTCACTTTCCACTGAGTTTCTTGTTGATGGGAGGAGGGGTTAAAACAAAACTCCTGAAGGCTATTTTTTGTTGGAAAAAGTGTTTATTGAATTATTTCACACACACACCACAAAAATCTGAGGTTTGGGTTTCCGGAAGGGCTAAAGGCTGCATTGGACATCTGTAAATGGGTCACATAACTCCCATCCCTGTTGTATGATAATGCACATCAAGGAATATGCTGCATTCTAATAAAACACTTCAGGTATCTGTTCCTGTTTTTAGTAATACAATGAATAGTGCAATGAACCTTGTCATCAGGATATTAAACCTGGATTAGTATTCAATTGTTGAAAGCTAGCAATGTCCCTTTTTAATTGCATAACACACTGAGTTCTAGAAAACATTAATCAATATACTAATGAGCATGTAAATCAATGTGCCCATGCATATAGAGACATAGACAGATACATCTATACAGATTAGGAGTAAGCAAAGTGGGGACCATAAGCCCCTTATTTGTAGCCTCTACATCTCCCCCTAAGCCCCAATAAACCTGAAGATCCACCTCCAAAATTCAGTGGCATGCTTTCTGCCTGTCTTGATCTGCTGCCAGAAACTGTCAACAAGCCACTATAGCTAGAGGCACTGCTGTAGCCAAAGACATCACCGACTACCCCCACTCCCACCCCAAAAAGCAGTAGGTAAAGCTCCTGCACTACTGCCAGCAACCAGTTCTGTGCTCCAGCTGCTTGCTTACTGAGTGCCTGGTTCTGTGAATGTTCAGAGCCATGCTCCATGGAAGGGCCTTTGCAGGCCTGCATCTTTGCCTGATTCCAGGGGGAAATTACCATGGTGCATCCCTGGGTTCTTGAAGTAAAGTAAAGTAAATACACTTTATCACGTGTATTCATTCATGTTTAAAGGGATGTAATTTATGCAAATATTCATGACAAATCTTTTATAGGATTTTAATCTGAAATAACTGTGGGTTTATTTTTTGGTTCAATGTTTTGAACTGTAAACGAAGACACCCTAGTTAATGATTATAGCAAATTTTAAAAACTCATGGAAGTAAATGTTCTGAATAATAGCCACTTATCTAAACTGGAAAAAGTCTCAAACACATTATTAAATAATTATTTTATTTAATATTTATATATTTGTAACTGTGTTGACCCTTCCACAGTAACTATGGAAGAGAAATGAGGGCATGTTTCATTCATTCATTTCATTCATTCATTGCTCAGAAAGTTTACTACTGATCATTGTAAAATATTTTATTGTTTTTAATCTATGAAGTGAATAAGACATAACTAGTAGGTATTACCTATGTCATCCTACATGTCAATATTTCTCACAAAAGCTAGGGTGGATCTCTTCTAAAACCTCAGACAGCAGCTGCTAATCAGTATTGGCAAACAGGCCTGTACAAGATAGTCCTCCTGACTCAGTATAGGAAAGCTTGTGTACTATGATTACTCTGTGCAAGTTCCCAGGAGAAACTGCCTCAAGTACATGACATTAAAGAAATTAGAGAAATATAGGTGTAGTGAAGGAATAATATTGCAATATATATTCTCTATGGCAGTGCTGGCGAACCTTTTAGAGCCCGAGAGCCCAAACTCAAAGGTGTTCCCACACCAGGTGTTATCTAGTGCTGGTGGCGGGACTTCTGGGAGGCGGGACTTCTGCCTTCCAGCAGCTAAAGGCCCAGGAGGGTGGGGGGAAGGAGGAGGAACAGGCATGCAGGGAGGCAGCTGAAGACCTGGGAGGGCAGGAGGAAGGCCAAGAACAGGTGCACGCCTGTCC